CCCTTGGGGTTTTGCAAGCTGTCCTGGAGTGACTGGGATGGGAAAAGATCCACCAGAGCCCAGGCTGCAGGATGCTGCCCCATTGCCCCCAGCTGGGACAAACTTCCAAAAAAAAAAAACCAACCCCTTGGGGTTTTATAAGCTGTCCTGGAGTGAATGGCTCCGTTTGGGAGTGACTGGGATGGGAGAAGAGCCCCCAGAGCCCAGGCTGCAGGATGCTGCCCCATGCTCCTCGGAGCACCCCAGGGTGCTTGCTCCTAGGGAATATTTTGTGGCTTTTTTGAGTGGAAAACAGCAAGTGAGGGAGAGATGCCTGAGCCGCTCAGCCCTGCACTATCTCCCTGCTTTAGTAAACTCCTCTTTGCCAGGATAAATAAGTTTTTGTAGTTCATGTCCTGTACAAAGCTGGGGCTTAGTAAGGATTTTTTTTATGCTATCACAAAAGTAGAAGCATTAGTGCTCCCAGCAGTCCTTTTTGCCCCTGATTTTTCACCCTCACCCACCCCACAGCATCTTCCCAAGCAGTTTCTTACCTATGAGGTCCATCAGCCACCTTTCTCCCCACTGTCTCCCAGCCCTTTAATACCCGAGGGTGGCTTTTTACCTCGTTACAATTAAGAACCAGGTGAGTTTAGGAGGGCTTGAATTTACAGCATCCTCCCACTGGAGGCTTTCTCTGATTATACCAGGCAGCCCCGCTTATTCTGCTTAAAATTGTGGGATCCTGGCTGGGAAAAAAATGTAACCAAGTCTCTTGACTCAATTTTCTTGCTGACGTGTGATGTGATATGAAATAATGCTCATGGGTGAGCGCCTGGCTCAGTTATCCACTCATCTCAACGTGAAAAGAGACCCTTTTTCCCCCCTCTTGAGTTTCCTAAAAAACCTCTGGAGCTGAGAAAAAGCCCGCAATAATTTTATCCTCGAGGATACATTATTCCAAGAAGCTGGAGGAGGGTGGAATCCCGTGGTCAGTGACCCAGGGGCAGCTCCGGGGGCCAGAAACGCTTTGTGCTTCATGGGGCTGTTTCCGCCAGCTTCCCGGGGTGGGAAGGAGCTGGGAAACACAGAGTGGGAGGAAAATTGTGCTTGTTTACAGAATTTTATTGACGAGCGTGAGATTTGTGTTTCTTTCTCAGCACGTGGGCCCAGGAGAGGTTTGCTTTGCCTCCCCCGGAAGGTTTCCTGGGGGGAAAATGGTCCAAAATGGGGCCCCTGCAGATATTGCAAATGTTGATGCTTTTTGGATCATTCCTGGGCAGTCCCTGGCATCTGTGGGACCATGTGAAGTGCCTGGAGTGGGTGGGAAGCAGCACCGTGGTCAAGGAGGGCTGGGGACTGGTGGTGGCAGCCCGGCCCCATGGCCAGGAGACATCTGGCCTCGCTTGGTGCTTGTTTTCCCAGCGGCTTGGGAAGAGGAGAGGCTCTTCCCAGGCAGCCCAGGGGTCCCTAGAAAGAAGAAATCATTGAAAAGTTGAACTCCAGGGAAATCCCAGTCACTTCCTTCCAGGCTGGAAAAAACTCAGCTGGCAGATATTGCTTCAGAAATGTTCATCTGTCTTTTGTCCTTTGTTTAGACCATGTTAATTGGATTAATCCTTAATATTTGTAAAACCAATCCACTGCTCTTTACGAGTTGGATCAACGCGGAGCTCTCTGTGCCTCTCCTTTCTGTGCACTAAGGGCAAGGGGCTTTCCCAAAGTACCAGCCAACAAACCCATCTCAGGGTGCCCCCTCCCCAGCTCCAGGATCCCCAGTGAGCATCTGGGGTGCACCCACCGCCCCAAGGGGTGCAGAAATAGAGATCTACTCTGGCTCTTGGCAGCTCAGCCCCACTTGGGGGGAGCAGATCAGAGCTGTGCTGCTGTTGGGGGGGGGTATCAGCCTGGTGTCCCTGGGACTAATATCATCACAGCATCAAGCATCAATATCAGCCTGGTGTCCCTGGTCTCTCCTCTACCAGGACATTGCCCCAGGACTAATATCATCACAGCATCAAGCATCAAACCTTAGCATCACTCCTGCTGAAGGGCCAGCACAGGACAAAGCCACTGCAGGGACATCTGGATTTGCAGCACAACCTTAGAAACTGCCTTGTGGAGCATCCCAATGTGCTGTGGTCCCTGTCCCTCATCACTGGGCTGCTCTGGCAGGGCTGTGGGTTGTGGGCACGTGAAGGCAGAGCGAGCCCAGGGGATGCCAAGGCTCCTGCCTGCCTGAGTGTGACGTCCTCATGGGGGGACACCACCCCATGGAGCTTCACAGCAGCCCTGGTGCTGCTCCTTGGGTGGGGACCGAGCTTGGGGCACCCCAAACGCATCCCTGGGGCGCAGCTGATGGACCCCCCTTGTGTCTCGCTGTTGGACTCGGTGTCAGAAGGGTGCAATGGGTCCAAAGGGATGGGAACATGACAGCTTATTTTATAGAAACGTGCTCCCGCCCCCCCCCTTTTTTTTGTTTTTTTTTTGAAGCCCCGGGCGCTCGGTGCATTTATTCCGGTGTTTATTAGAGCCCCAAGGTGTTTCCTGAGGCTGGGTGAAGAGCTGCAGCCTCTCGCACAGCTTCCCCCTGCCTCTCCAGCTGCTTGTGCCATCAGCCAGATGCAGAAATAAGGAGAAAACACGGATATTTGCTGGTTACTGTAGGATTTGAGTCTCCAAAGCGTTGTCAAGAGCAGGCTGAAGGGCTCTCCCCTGCCCCATGGACTAGGTGTGTGTCAAGGGCTGGTGGGGATGGGGGAGATGGGGTTTTCTGGTGATACAAATGTGTAGGAGCCATGGGACAGATGCTCCAGCACCACATCCCGGCAGGAGATGGGGAAAAAGGAGCTGGTGGGATGGGACAGGAGCAGGAGGACCAGCACGGCCGGTTCACCTCTCCCTGGGGAGAAGAGGAGACCAATGTGGGTGCCCATCGTGGTGAGGGACGCTGCCTCCTGCAGCAACTCCTCCTCACCAGCTTTTCATGGGGATCCAACCCCTATCAGGACCAGGAAAAAAGACCTTCTTCCCAAGGAGGAAGCTTCTTGATCTGTTCCTGAATATTTCTAATTATTTTGGGACATGTATAGTACATTTTTTTTTGCCGAGGGATCGAAACATGCACGGAAAAAACCTGGTCTAAAAGAAAAATCCCCTTCAGGATGCTGGTGGCATTTGGGACTGTGTCCCTGATGCTGGCAATGGGGCATTTCCAGGTGGTGTTTCTGCCCCCATGGAGGGGCTTCCAGGGGTCTGGGGGAGACCCCCCCAGGGCAGGGTCTTGGCTGGACCGGTGCTGAGGGGGAAGCAGAGCTGTAACTGTCTCCCCCCGGCCCGGGAGCCCCCGTGCTCTCAGGGCAGTGTGAGATGGATGAGGTCCCTCAATGCTGCCCGTGTTCTCTTGGAGTCAAAATCCCCGAGTCATCCAAACCTTAATAGCCCCACGGAGGCTTAATGGGTAGCTTTATTCCTCGTTATCGACGTCGTTTTACTGTAATGGGATGTGCAGTTTTGCCCGTCTCATAAATACCCACAGTCTGCTTTTTAGTGGTCAATACATAATCCTCAACTGACCTCATACAGCGACCAAACCCCTTCCTCCCCTCCTTTTACCCCTGTAGCTTTCTCAGGCTGCAGGATTTGGTTTTGGGGCTCCTTGCTGCTGCACGGGGTGTGTTGTCACCCCAACGTGGGGCTGGGGGGCTCCGGCCACTGTCCCCAGTGCCTGGGGCTGCTTCTCGAAGGGACACGGGCTGGGGACACCTCAACAAGCAGCGTCCATCAGCCTTTGCTGGATTTCCTCCCCCTTTTTCCAAAAGTCAAGCAAGTGCTTCTTGCGGAGAAGCCCAATTTTAAAATCGAAATCGCACCATTTTAAAAGTTTGCGCCTTTAAAAACGTCACCATTTTCAAAGTTTTCTCCACAGCAGCCTCCAAAACAGCTATTTCCCTGTGGCTGAATGCGACCTCCCCCATCCCTGGTGCTTGCAAAAGCCTGTTGCACTAAAAATATCCAGCAAAGAAAGTGTCCCCCCTCCAGGCTTCTATGTTTCCCCGAGGAAGGGGCTGCCCTGGGGAGGCTGCGTGGACCAGCCCCTCTCCTGTCACCAGCCACTGGTGGCCCTGGTGGCTTCATGGACCAGCTGTTGCCACATCACATCGTCCCCACACAGGGTTTGGGGCTGGATCCTGCCCTGTTTGTGGGAAGGAGCTTTGTGGGGGGGTGTGTGTGAGCACTTTGGGGGCTCTGAGCAAGTCACTGACTCGTTGGGAAACTTCACCTGGGCGTATGAATAGATGTTGATTTACATCCCACTGCTGATCCAGGGGTTTCTGGACAGGTTAATGAGCTCGTTACCGGGCTGGGCATGAGTCAGGGGATGTGCTGGGGATGTAAATGCCTCCGGTTGCTGATGGTCTCAGGAACAAACACCATTTGTGCTGGAATGACTTTGCTCTCTAGAAGAAAGTAGGCGGCGGCGCGTAATTATCCTACAGTCACCGGGGAGGAGGACACAGGGGTCGGCGTGGTGGCTGGTGGGGCTCATCCTCATGTCCCATCACCAGTGATGCTCCAGCTGGTGCCAAATTTTCCCAGGGAGGGGGGGGTGTCAGCCCTGTGGGGGTCAGACCCTGCCCTGCGATGGGGAGAAGCAGGGAGAGAAGGGTTTGTGTGTTGGATCTCGGCCTCCCGGGCAGGGTGAATTGAATGTTTTTGCTTTCCCTCTCTGCACAGAGCTCTTGTCGAGTCAATGAGAGACCTCCACAAGTCTAGCGTGCTGGGAAGCAAGCACGGCAGCCTGGTGAGTGTCCCGCGCTGGGCATTTTAATAAGGCTGGGACAGAGAAATGCAGAGAAAACAGCAGCTGAGGCCAAGGGAGCCAAGAGCCCGACCGGTTGGCTCTGCTTGGAAGCGCCCTTGGCACAAAAGAGCAAACCACTTCATTTACACCAGAGATTCAGCCATTCTTAGCCCTGGTGGCTTTTTTAAGTCAAGTTTGGGGGCTGCGAACACCCAAACTTTTTGGGCTGTGGAGCATCCATCCTGCGGCGATGCTGGGGCTGGGCTTGCAGGCACGTTTTTTGGTGGCTGAATTAAGACTTGCACACCCCGAACATGTGTTCCTCTCCAGGGCGGAATTGTTATTGAAATGAAGAACTGGGATGTGCCTAAATGTTAAATCTTACCGAGCCTCGTAAGCATGAAAGCCATTAACGTGAACAAAAGCCGTTTTCAAGGTTGAATTGAGAAGCATCAGAGCATTAGAGGACTGGAGAGATTAAAATCAGCATTTGTTTAGCTCTAATCTAATGTGCATGGAACAATAAGCATTTGATGACTAATTTTGGCAATGCTGGGTATCTTATCAAAATATAGCTGTTTAATTTCAAGCTTTTCTTTAGGGAGTGGATTCCAGCAGCATAAATCCTACAGAAATGCTTTGCTTAACGCACTGGGCATGCGCTGAGCAGATCCTGTCCTCCGTGGTCAGAGGAGCCTGGGCAGGACACATCTTGGGGTGACACTGTCCTGATGGAGCCCACGGCTCCTGCTGCTGCTTTTTCCCCTCCGAGGGAAAGAAATAGTGACTTTGCTCAAGCAAAGTGAATGAGGACAAGGTTGGGGTGGGGAAATGGCTTTGCAGTGGTTGCAGGGGCCGTGTTTTGCCATTTTCCAGTGTTGGTTTAGGGCATGAGCACAGTCCTGCTCATCCCAGTGCTCCACAGGTCCCCTGCCTCTGGCCACGGCGGGTCCTGGGCTCCCCCTCAAGCCCATGGCCAAAATGTCCCCTTTGAGAAGGGATTTAATCCCCCCTTGGCCACGAGATTCCTAAATCCCCCAGTGATGATGGTGACCAGTTGTGGAGGAGAATTGGAGACAGAGCATCAGGACCAGAGCAGGGTCATGCCCACCTTGCCAGGACTTTGGGGACAATGACTGTCCTGGAAGATGATGTACTCAGGAGTGTGGTGTGGCAGTGAGTCTGGTTGTGGCTTTTTTCTCTAACCCTTGCCAGGACTTTGGGGACAATGACTCCATCCTGGAAGATGATGTACTCAGGAGGGCGGTGTGGCAATGAGTCTGGTTGTGGTTTTTTTCTCTAAAATAACCCCCGTTGAGCTATTTTGTTGCTTTCTTCCCTGCTCTGCACATGGGAGCTGTGAGGAGCAGGGGGGTTGCCGGGCAGCCCCTAGAAATGAAGCCATCTCCTTGGGTAAGACCTGCCGAGAAGCAGCTCTTGTTTTTCGCCTGTTTTGCCCACTTCATTGCCTTAGTGGCTGATCGATACTCGAAATGTCAAACTCGAGCACCACTGACCTTTCTGATGGAAAATCACTTCTGCCCAGTGGCTCCCAGGGACGTGCAGGCACCGTGTCGGCTCCGGAGAGGAGAGAGGGAAAGTCACCCCATGCAAAGGGGGGACACGGGGGCAATGACGGGGCAGGTTTCAGTTGTCTTTGTTTTTTTTTGTATAAAACTCCACCTTGACTTTAACTGGAAAGCCCCAGATGGGGAATCCTCTCCAGAACCTCTTCCTGAGCCAGGAGGAGGCGAGAAAACAAGGGAATAATGTGATTTTGGAAAGGCACTGTCTCCTGGAGTGCCACAAAACCCCTCCTGAAAGCCCCATTTTTTCTAGGCAAAAAAAAAAGAGTCTTGGATTTCCTTTTCCCAACGCACTTGTTCATGCAAATATTTTTTTCTTACTAATCAGCCATAACCCTGATACCTAACCATGGGCAGAACAGTCAGTCAGACAGCCAGGATGAAAGGGCACTGCTTTCCAATTAAAAACCTCTCTAAGGCCGTGGGGGGCTGCTGCTGCCATCGCCGTACCCCAAAGAGCTGCTGGAGCTGCCCCAGCCCCCCCCCTCAACCCCCAGCTCCGTACAGGTGAAGGCAGAAATTCATTTCTCTGAAAGCTTTCATGACTGAGGCAGATTAATCGGCGCTATATATAGGATATACCGATTTTTTAAAATTTTTTTTTTAAGGGATTACAGTCCACTGTGCTGTGTGACTGCCTATTGCAGCGTCAGGGGCTCTTTGCGCAAGCTCTCCCTCCCTCCCGCCTGCTGTTGCCAAGACTCCCGATGCTTGAAAAGATGCATTTAAAAATAAACACATTGAGACAAGAGCTGTGGCCTGCTGCTGCTGGGAGGCAAAGGCTGGAGCTGCCAGCAGATCAGAAAAGCCTCCAAAGAGGGGCTGGGTTTTTTCTTCTAGGTTCTTTTTCTTTCTCCTAGGCGTAGGGCAGTGATGTCCCCTCCTGGGGGGTGGACGTGGGCAGAGCTGGTGCCCGTGGGGGTTTTGTGTGTGCTGCTGGGACACGTGGGTCAGATCCCCCCTGCCCCACAGCATCCTCTCTGCCTGGCTGGTGGTGGGGCTGCAGGGTGGGTACCAGTCCTCCACCCTAGAGAAAAACCTGCAAAATAGAGAACTGGGGGTTGGGGTATTTTTTTAATGAAAAGCTGAAGCTGCTCCCTGCTGTAAAACTGAAGAGCAGCCGGAGAAACTCACTTAAAAGCTTATTTCTCCACGCTGCAAGAAGCAGGAACTTGCAGGGTGTCCAGAGGGACACGTCTCTGTCCCCTCTGCAGCCTCAGGGTTGCCTTGCTCCTCGTCCTGGGGAGCTCCTTGCCCTGCTTGGGTGGGATGCCCCATCCCTGGAGGGGTTCAAGGGCATGTTGGAGGGGGCTTGGAGCAACCTGGTCTGGTGGGAGGTGTCCCTGCCCAGGGCAGGGGGTGTCACTGGATGGTCTTCAGGGTCAGCCCCGCTCGGGGGGATGCCCTGTCCCTGGAGGGGTTCAAGGCCAGGCTGGAGGGGGCTTGGAGCAACCTGGTCTGGTGGGAGGTGTCCCTGCCCAGGGCAGGGGGTGTCACTGGATGGTCTTCAGGGTCCCTTCCAACTCTAACCATTCCATGATTCTGTGTGTCAGCCCTGTGGTACAGGATGCAGCCTTGGAGAGGCTGCAGCATCTTTTCCTCGAACCAAATGCATCAGGCTGTAACAGAGTAAGGGCTGACCAAAACCCAGGCATCCTTCCCCTCTTTTTCACTGACCACTTTGCCGGTCACTCTTCACCCAAGATATCGCCGTCTATATGGTCTCCATTTCTCACCCTTCTGTGGTCCATCCACTTATGCCAGAAACAGAATTCAGAGATAAAGATCACAGCTACCCAAACTTATCCTCTGTTCACTTATGTGTTTGTGGACAGGGAAGCATGAAATCCCAGGCTGTAACAGAGTAAGGGCTGACCAAAACCCAGGCATCCTTTCCCTATTTTTCACTGACCACTTTACCAGTCACTCTTCACCCAAGATATCGTCGTCTATATGGTCTCCATTTCTCACCCTTCTGTGGTCCATCCACTTATGCCAGAAACAGAATTCAGAGATAAAGATCACAGCTACCCAAACTTATCCTCTGTTCACTTATGTGTTTGTGGACAGGGAAGCATGAAATCCTAATAACCCAATCCAAAAGGAGGGGAAACTTATTGCCCTTTAATAGAAAAGCAATAAATATTGTGGCTCCTGGGATAGATGGGGAAAAAGAGGAAAGTCAGTTCTCTGCAGCCTCCACGCATGGTCCAGCCCATCTTTTCAGAGGAAAATTTGCCCATCCCTTCCCTGGTACGGGGCTGGAGGTCCAGCCCATCCTCTCAGAGAGGAAGATTTGCCCATCCCTTCCCTGGTACGGGGCTGCAGCTCCTCAGCAGCATCATCTTCATCCAGCCCTATTGTAGATGGAAATCTTGTGTTAACTGACCCACATCATGCTCTGGTCCATCTTCTCCCCATACCTGCTTCTGCAGGAGAGCTGGGTCGGGGTAAGACACTGCAGACACTGGGCTTCGAGCCTAAAATATTGCCCCCTGGGGTCTTTCCCCACCTCCAGGCCTGTGTGTTTTCCTCTGCTTTTGAGGAACGGCACCAAAACCGACGCCATGACCCACAGAAACAACCCGGTGCCCCCCTGCCTTTCTCCTTCAATGAAATATTTTTGCTAAATGAGAGATATTCCCTCCCCGAGACAGGGTGCCCGGCTGGGCGCGGACGATGGCAGATACCGTGGCTCCGATTATGAAACCTCAATGAGCTGCTTTGTTCTTTTGTTTGGAGAGGAGGAGCGGGATGGCAGAGCTGCCCTCCCCTCCCCGGGGCCGCCGGGGGGGAGCAAGGGGACAGAGATGCTCTTCGCTGGGCTGTGTCCCTTCTCCAGGCTCCCCAGAACACCCCTTTTCTGCTAAAACTGTTGTCACCGAAGAGATTTCCACCTTCCAGCTGGGGATTTGGGGGCACGCTCTTCCCCTCAAGCACTTAAAGGAGTAAAACATTGCAAGGAGCCCTAAAAACGCCAGAGCAGAGAATTTTCTCTGCTGCTGTTTGTTTCGTGAAGTTAATGTTGATGCTGAATGTTGTGGTTGGGGAGGTGATTTATTTTATTGCCTCGCTCCGAAGTGCTCTGTCCTATTCTCGTTTTTCATGTAAATTCCCCTCAACCTAAAGCAAGGGAGGAGTTTTGTAATGCAGGTTAAAACCGGAGTCCAAGAATAACACAGAAATAGAATGAACTTTGGAAACGGTGGCACATTAGTGCAGTTCTGGAGATGGATGGAAATGACTCCCATAAATCAATAGTATTTTTTTAGTGCCCCTAAGCCATCGAGAGTGAGGTGATGGAAAAATATAAATGCCCATTAGTGTCAGCAGAATTACGCACAGAAGTGTATTTTGTAAAAAAATTATATATTGTAGCATTGGAATTGCTGGATGTGACCCATCGTAGGGTGA